TATAGAGGTTTAGTGAAATTATGTTCTTGCTTTAATAGGATGGATACTTAAAGAAGTTAGCAAGGTATTTGGAATTTTTCATGCAACCTATTATTGCAAAAAAATATCAAAGCTTAAAGAGAGAATTTGTTGAACTGATTCAAAATAGAGTAAGTTTTATTCAGAGAGAAACCAATTTTATTTCAATTGGTGCTATTTTACTTATTTTGTTTTTGTTGTTTCCTCTATTACCCATGCAAATTTCCCCTATGCCAAAATCTTTGAGCTCTTGTTTGAATATAAAATCTTTCATTTTGGCTAACTTTTATAGCTTAACAATTTTGATAATCTCATTTATGCTAATCAACCATGGTGAATTTAAGCAACTATTAAATCCAAAATGGTCTTACATATCATCATGAGCTCATTTTTGCAACATAGTTGTTGGTTTTGAGGATCAATTCATAAAAAGATCTGTATTTGATCGTCAGGAACTTAAACCATAAAAAATGCTTGTTATACAACTACAACTTACTTTGGTTTCAAGGATAGAGTGTGGGCTCGAGGTTGATAATTCTAAAAGTCGACTCCAAATACTATTCACAATAACAGGATATGCTATGCCAACCTATAAGACTAAACAATTGAAAAAAAAAATTTGAATTTGAATGGCTGGAAAGCGATATTGTTCATTGGAATAAATGTTACTATGAGGTAAATATTCTCAAACAAAACCTTCAGTACATGGCGATTATTAAACATATATTGAGCTTTGAGTATGAAGTTTTTTTATATACCCTAATAAGATTTTTTAAATTTGTGCTTCATCATGGTTTGCTTAAAACTATGTCATTATCAATAGAAATATTTGATTGATCTAACTATGACTAATGTGGAATGCTTGTTACTAATTTAGGTATGTTCAAACACTTTAAGAGCTATCGAATTCTTGGGAGATAGTAGGCGAATGAATGTTGCCATAATAAGAGCATGTAAACATGTGATAGTTGTGTGTCATAGCTCAAATAACACTTAGCTCAAATAACACTTAGCTCAAATAACACTTTCCTACCTAGGCTTTTGCGTCATATCTGATATTTTGGTAAGGTAAAGCATGCTAAACCCAATGCTTTTAAAGGATTCAGACTCAGCACGGATCTAATGCTACCATTCATTAGCTAATATGACATGAACAGGTCAAGTACCAAGCTTTAAATTTTTTTTAAGTGATGATTATTTGGGAGTTCAATCTATAGAATAGATGCTTGAATTCATTTTTATCTTGCCATTAGTTTTTGCATTAATTTGTATATAGATTATCATTTTGTGAACAAAAAAATTGAAACCCTTGATTTAAGTCTCATTTCAATGCTGTATTTTTTAAATCTATTATACATTAATTGTATTAAATACTTTTTACACATAGCAAATCACTTTTAGAACTAGAATCTTGCATCCAAAATTAAGATACAATGCTTTATAACTTAAATTGCTTAGTTAATAAATCTTTATTGTATGATATTTTTCATGAAAAATTTTTATTTGTAAAGTTATCTAACATAAACCTGTAAAATAGCAAAACTATTTATATTTTCTTAAAAAAAAATTTGTTGCTTTTTATTTTTTTTAAATTTGTACCATTATTTAAAAATAAAACCCATAAGACTTTGACTTTATTATATCTGTCTACACAAATTTTTTTAATAGATTGTCAAAGTATTGAAATTCTTCAAACCCATAAGACTTTGACTTTATTATATCTGTCAACATGAATTTTTTTAATAGATTATCAATGTATTGAAATTCCTTAAATGGAATTTCTTAAAGTAGGAATTTGTGTTTGGTGCAAGAGATTGGTAGATTATTTTTGGTAGTAGCATTCGTTGCTCAATCTACTGCAAATGTTTTTCAAGCAAGGTTAAAGGAGTTCACTTTGAAGATATTTTGAAAATTTTTTTCGATTTCTTTTTTAATTGTTTTGCAAGTTGATATCTTACATTGGTTGGTAATAATATTGGCCGTTGTTGAATCTTTATTATTGATATTTACATGCTAAACTTTTCTTAGTTACATGGATATTATTTATCTTATTGTTTAGACAAAAAAATATTAAGGCTATATTTATTTTAAGAGTCATATACATTAGATAAAAAAAAAATACAAATCAACATTCATTATTTTGAATATATTATATATTTTTAAAAATATTATTATTCCTATTTTCGCAACACAGTGTGGATATCCATTTTAGTTAATTATAAAAGAAAATGAAAACCCTAATTTTCCCCAATATTGAAATACAAAACTATTTCTTTTTGTTCAAGTACTCAAGTTAAAAAAAGAAAAAAAGTTAATAAATCAAAATAAAATGTGATTAGACTTTTAATCATGAATCAATGGTGGAAATATCTAGAAACTGACACATTTAAACATCCAACAACCATTTTTTTATAATAAAATAATATTTTAACTAAAACCCACCCTAAAAAAATGTGAATTTAGGGTTTTGACTTTTTCTATTTATTTCTTACCTTTAATTATATTTTGTCATTGAAGTTCTTTTAAGATTATCATGGCAAGGATATAGGTCTCTATAATAACATCGACAATAAAATTAAAGGTATAAAAATACTATTTTTGAACAAGAATTATATATTTTTATATGTATTTTAAGCTTAAAGGTGTGATTTTTATGAGTATTACTGATTTTATAGATGTTCTTCGCAAAGATTATCAGACCAACCAAAAATTCAGTTTGACCACCAACTCGTCAACTAGAGTGATAAGTTTTTTTTTTGTTAGGTTAGGTTTATTTTTTATTTTCTAGACATGTTTTTAATATCTTTTATTTTTAGGTTACTACCTTTACTGGAACAAAGAAAGGCGATATCTTTCTAGTTTATGTTAACAACTAGATAAAGAATAGTAATGTTACCATTGATATCAAAGTCAATATTGATGCCAATGTAAGTATTTCACCTGTCTTTTTTGTTGATTTCTAGTTTATTTGATATATAAGTTGAGTGTTTGCTTACTTTTCTTTTGCAAGTGAGATCCAATGCTTTTTTTTTTAAATATGCTTTATCATATCCCTTTACTTTTACCTTAAAATTTTTAGACATGTTAGAATTAGAAGACATAATTGACATCTAAGCTAACCTCTCTTTATTTCTACCTCATAGTTTTCAAACATGCTAGAATTGAAAGATATAGTGAAAAGGGATAAAAAAAAACATATTGAAGAGTTAGGAAAATGAGAAGATCAATTGAAAAAAGGCTAGAAGTATTAGAGGTTGATTAAATTAGGTCGGCTTAAGAGCTAAAAAACTATGATGTGAGACATAGAGGTCCTAAATGCCCTTTTATATAACTAATACAAAGATAAGATAAACGTTCCAGATTGTGTCACATAGCCATAACAATTACTGAGGATGATAACACAAAGATAAGATAAACGCTCCAGATTGTGTCATGTAGCCATAACGATTACTGAGGATGATAACACAAAGATAAGATAAACGCTCTAGATTGTGTCACATAGCCATAACGGTTACTGAGGATGACCTTCAACATTCTCAATCCTAATTCATTTAACCATCAAATTTTCTCTCTCCTAATTAAATGCAAATATATTTTCAGATAAGAGATGAATCTACAAAAGGGGAATGTCAATCATTTCAATAAATGCTGCTCATATCGACCAAACACTTATGACATATCGAGTTAACCATGTACTAATACAATAGACATATTCAAAAACAAAGGAAAAACACAAGTCTTATGTCTGTCATCACAATAACAAAGAGTAAATTACGATCAAACGAGACGTTGAATGTACAAAACACATAGGTAACCATTCATAGGTTTGCTTAATCTGATCCTTGTTCACATCGGCACCTTTAGCCATTCACCTCGGTGACTCAAGTCAAATCAACTAAATAAAATTCTCAAAGTCCAAGCTCAAGAATTTGAGCTCAGTATCATCAAGCACAAACCAAATTGGTATAAGTCAGATTAGCCAAATTTACACTCAATAGTTTGATACTTAAACTGTTTGGTGAAAGGATAAAATTTCAGGAACATTTTTAGGTTCAAAGGACAAAACTATTTTTTTTCTCATTAAAAATAGTCGGTAAATAGCTAATTACATTTTTTACTTTTGGATCAAGTTGATGTGTCAAGTTGACCTGAATCCATGAGGTCATATCAGCTCTGCTACTTCATCAGTTTGTCCAATAAACTCCCCTAGACGTTGACTTGTCACTTCCAAAATTGATGGTTAACATCCAACTCAGCTTGGATTCATCCTTAACCCTAAACTCTCACCTTATAGATATAAATATCACCACCCAAGAATTATTTCACAATCTCAATTTCCTTCTACTTGCTTCTTTTTTCCTTCCTCCTATCTTACTTAACCAATCTTTTAATATCGGAGCATAAATTAAGATTACTTCCAACCTTTATTTTTAACTACTTTTTTCTATCATCTTCTTACACTTACTTTTTTAATTTTTGTTATACTTTAATATATGCGAATCATCTTATTAATGCAACTAAAATTTTTACTATCAAAAAATAAAATAACATTTTATAAAAAATCCCAAAAAAAAAAAAAACAACTAAAATATTTCTCCTCTTAAAATCTAGAAAAACTTTTATTTCATAAAAAGGAAATCCAAAAAATTAAAAATTCTAAAAAATAGAATAAAGCTGAAAAATAATTATAAAAAATAAAAAATATATTAAAAAAACTTATTTTTTGTTACTCAAGTATGATAGTATATCATTTATAATGATAATAGTATAATTAATTAATTATAATTTAAAATTATATAAAAATTATCAAAATTTTATATAAAACTTACACTTAAAAACAATAAAACCTTTCGTGATTTTTTATTATGATCAATCAATTGCTGTATTATAATAAAAATTTTTAAGTAAAATGTTCTCGTAAAGTATTCAAGTATAAAAAACAAAAAATTAATAAATTAAAACAAAATGTAATTAGACTTTCAATCAGGAACAAAGGTGGAAACATCTAGAAACCGACGCATTTCATCCAACGGTCTCCTTTTTTCTAATTATAAATAATATTTTAACCAAAACCCTAATCCAAAAAGAAAGGTAATTTAGGGTTTTGGCTTCTCCTATTTATTTCTTCACCTCTGAGATTTTTTGCTTCAATGCTTGTTTTGTTGTTGAACTTCTGCTGAGGTAATTATGGGTAAGGGTCCAGGTCTTTACACTGACATCGGCAAGAAAGCTAGAGGTATAAAAATTCTATTTTTGAATAAGAATTATGTATTTTATACGTATTTTAAGTATGATGCTGTGATTTTTGTGTATTTTTTTATTTTATAGATCTTCTTTACAAGGATTATCAGACTGACCAAAAGTTCACTTTGACAACCAGCTCGCCAACTGGAGTGGTAAGGTTTTTTTTTTGGTCAACTTTTAATTTTTATTTCCTGGGTTGGTTTTTATATTTTATCCAAATTATGTTTTATTGGTGAATTAATTTTGGATGCTTTGTTCTGTGAAACCCAACCGACATTTTGGGTTTTTTTTTTATCTTTCTTCTTGGGGTTTTCAGCTTTATAAAAAATTCATGTGTTATTTGTTTCAGTGAACCTAAATGCTTATTTATTTTGGTTAGATTTTTTAGATTATTTTTTTGGCTTTGGTTTTGGTTTGTAAAATCTTTTTGATGCATTTGTTAGTGTAAAAGTTATGTTGATTGAATGAAAGAATGTTAGTTTAAGCTTACTTTTAAGATATTATCATGTATCAAATTTGTTTTTTAAAATATATATATATATATATATATATAGTTTTTGGATTTTTTAATAGTTTTAAAGTAATTAGAGTAACTTATTTTAGTGCATTTTTGCCTATTATGTTTTATGAATGTTTGAAATGTTGAAAGATTATGTTTCTAGAATTTTAGCATGGTTATCTCATCCTTCTTACTGCAATGTATCATGGGAGATGTTCGATTTCTGGATCTGCTACAGGAAACTTTAATTAATTCTTTGGAATTGTGTGTGTTTCTTTATTTCTTTAATTTTAGGTTATTACCTCTGCTGCAACAAAAAAAGGCGATATCTTTCTGACTGATGTTAACACTCAGATAAAGAATAGGAATGTTACCACTGATATCAAAGTCGAAACTGGTGCCAATGTAAGTATTTCACTTGTCTTCTTGTTGATTTCTAGTTTACTTGATGTATATTGAGTGCTTGCTTACTTTTCTTTTGCAAGTGAGATCCAATGCTCTTTTCTCTATTAAACATGGTTTATCAATTTATTTAAAGAAAATTAGTAGTTATTCTCATCCCCACTCCTCTACATTTGAAACCTTACCTCTAACTAGGGGAATGTGCCTGATACAATTGCTTATAATGTCATATTAGTGGAGCATTATGTAATTTTGAGACCAGATCTTTTTAGAGGGAATGCTGTTCTGTTGAAGGATTGGGAGTTTGTAGTTCCATTTCTTTCTTCTTATTTTCTTTGCTATTGAATTCATATGGTTGCTAACATTTATAAGCTCTTGAAATTTATTCATTGTACTAAAGTAGTTTGTGTTTATCAGCTCTTTACCACCATAACGGTTGATGAACCTGCACCTGGGCTGAAGGCAATCTTTAACTTCAGAGTCCCTGATCAGAGGTCTGGCAAGGTAGGCAATTCTGTCCTCAAATTTCAATTTGTAGCCCCAGAAACTTTATCGTGTTTTGGCTTTTAAGCTGGAGAACATGTTACAACTGCCTTTAGCGTGGATACTGCTTCTAAGTTACTTAGAATGTTTCATGATGTTGATGGACAATGTGATATCTTTCTCTTTGTGATTATGTACTAGGTTGAACTCCAGTATTTGCATGACTATGCTGGGATAAGCACAAGCATTGGATTGACTGCATACCCAATAGTTAACTTCTCAGGTGTGGTTGGATCTAATGTTCTTGCACTCGGTACTGATCTCTCATTTGATACAAAAACTGGGAATTTCACTAAATGCAATGCTGGATTGAGCTTCTCCAATGCTGATCTCATTGCTTCATTGGCTCTGTATGTGATGATGCATTCATGTACCTCTCTGATGATGAACTGTTCGAGTATATATCCCTTGTTTAATAAATTTCTTGTTTATTGGTGCAGCAATGGAAAGGGTGACTCCCTTAGTGCATCCTACTATCATATAGTGAATCCCTTGACTAACACTGCTGTTGGTGCTGAGGTGACCCATAGCTTCTCTAGCAATGAGAACACCATCACTGTTGGGACACAACATGCATTGGATCCATTGACCATGGTTAAGGCACGGGTGAACAATGCTGGAAAGGCAAGTGCTCTCATCCAGCATGAGTGGCGCCCAAAATCCCTCATTACCATTTCCGGAGAGGTAGATACCAAGTCCATTGACAAGAGCGCCAAGGTTGGACTTGCCTTGGCACTCAAGCCTTGAGTTTTATAGCTTATTTTTGAAGACTATGATAGGCTTGAACTTTTGAAGGGTAGTCTGGTCACACTGACTTTAATGGTGTTGCCGTCTACTCTTTATGGCAGTGGGTTTTTTTCTTTGTAAAAATAAAGTAGAGAAAAAAAATTAGAGGTGGCATAGTGGTTTAAACTATGTGGTTACCTTTTTAATCATCCCTTGTTTAACTGAGGTGGAGTACCTTTTACTTGCAGAGGTCTGATTTTCTGATCTTGCTCCTGATTTTGTTTAAACTATTTTCTTTAAATTTTTCAATAAAAAATAAGTATTTTCCTGAAATAATTGGTTAAATCATGTTTTTATAAAATTGTTTTTGCACGAAAATAAAACCTTGGAAGTGGAAGATAGAGGGGGGGTAGAGTAGGTGGGTTGAAGAGTCTGTGCGATTATGATAGTGACATCGGACTTTGGACTAATGGTAGGGTTGGATGGTTTGAAGGGTGCTTCAGTGTGAACGTGATACCGTACCATAACATACCACTATCGTTAATGAAGATTTGCATCATGTGATATGATTCCAATATGAAGTGGGACAACCAATTCTATTCTCCAGAAAATGACCTCCCCCATTTCTGCAAGATTGAGTATGTTGAAAAATGGTGATATTCTTCCTTTTTTTTCTATGTTAAACCCTTTCTTCTAGCCTTATTTGTTTAAAGGAATTCACATGCATTGAACCAAGTATTTTTCCATTTAGATATAATTCAGAACAAGTTTTTCATTTTAAGTTTTTTACGACTTTATCTCACAGTATCTGGATTTGAGATTGAGATTGAATGGTTAAAAAATCATTGCAAGCATTTATTCAAATAATGGAGAAAGAGTTATAAACAACACCCTATGTTTTTTTTCTTACACTAGTTTTCTTGTATTAAATACTTTAAAAAAGAGGTCCATTTGTACAACAGCTAACAATAAAAAGAGGGTAAAAAGAAAAATTAAGTGGGTAATGGTGAGGTGAAAGACTTGATACAAGACGATTGAGCCTATCAACTGCTTTCGGATCCTCGTCTTCATCAGCTTGCTGACATGTATATAATCCATTACCATAGTAACTTTCAGTCTCTATTCTCTTATGTAACCTGAATATCCCGTAGAAGGGTATAGGAATGGGATAGTAATGAAAAAGAGAGAAATAAATGAGACAGGCTTGCCTGAGCTCAATGAACTGATCAGGATATTGCACATCTAGTATGGCTTGTTCAGTTCTACTGGTACAATGAAACAGTGGAATATAAAACAATCCTTGTCAAAGAAATGGCAGAGGCACCCCCTATACTCTGTTGATTATGCAGTCTGAAGATGCGGACACTGCACATTTACCAAATTCTAAATATGAATATACAGAAACTTAAACCTATGATTCTTTTGCTTTAGGCTTTGGTGATGGATGAAGATTGTGATATGGAGATGCCTGAGGACCGTTTGGACTGGATAAGCTCCTCATAGGTTGTCCATTCCTCACTACGAATCCTGCCTGTGTTCTGATGCCATTTTTGGCATTTAAGTTGGAGGACCTAGAACGATCAGATTGCATAGTTTGGAAGTAATAGGAAGAGCTGGCCATATCTTTAAGGTTTGGAAGGGGCTTTAGGGTTTCAACAACTTCACTCATCCGAGGTCTGGCTTTGGGATCACGGCTGAGACATTGGGCAGCTAGCTGGGTAGCCTTCTGAGCACCTTTGATAGAAAAGTGCCCTTCAAGTCGAGGATCTAAAATTCGAAAGAACCTTCTCTTGTCTCCTAGATGCGGTCTTGCCCATTCCACAAGATTGTGCTCCCCATTTGGTCGGTTTTTGTCCATGGATCTCCGGCCAGTCAACATCTCAAGTAAAACTACTCCAAAGCTATACACATCACTCTTCGATGTCAAATGTCCTAAATTAATAACTGTATTAGATTTATGCAACCACAGATCTAGAGAAAAGAAGCTTTTCAACTCTAAATGTTATAGAAAAAATACCAAGTAATAACTATACAATGTTAAAAGAAAACAAATTCTCAATAAAATGGTTAACACTGTTTGATTAACACATATCAGAGGTGAGCTAATTCCAAAAAGCAAAGCCGTAAGAGAGTTTAAGATAAAAGAAACTAATTCATGAAACATCATATCAAGAAATGAAGCAGTAATTCTACCACGTACCAGTCATTACATATTCTGGTGCAGCATAGCCATATGTTCCCATAACTCGAGTAGATACATGAGTTTTATCTCCTTCAGGACCATCTTTCGCCAGTCCAAAATCGGAGAGCTTGGCATTGTAATCCTGCAATTGATAACCATTTTATAAAAAAGAAAAAAATTAAAATTAGGGAGGGAACGTACTATTTTTCTGTCTTAGTTACATACCGCATCTAACAGGATATTAGATGTTTTAAAATCACGATATATCACAGGTCTTTCTGCTTCTTCATGAAGAAAGGCAAGACCCTTTGCAGCACCAAGTGCAATTTTCATTCTAATAGACCAAGGAAGTGGCAAGGACCCTTCTGCACAAAAAATGGTTGTTACCAGAGAAAATTAAACATCAACCATGTACATGCAAATGCGTGAGGACACAATCATAATGATAGTAATAAACCCAAGCTTCGGATATTTTATTCCTGCCATAATTGGTCATTCAACTACCACATAGACAACTTTGTAGCAAACTCGGGCATTAAGGAGAAAGGACATAAATGCATAAGATGGTGAAGCGGTGTACAACAACAGCTAAGAGAAGTTTCTGACAGTATGTCACTTTGGCCATGCTGAACCACAGCAAACACGAAACTCATGCTAGAATACAAGTTAGTTGCCAGACATTTACTTGGCTACCTCCTCAGTCCTCACACAATTGATGCTTTGACACTAAATAAAAATTACAAAGGCAATTCTAACATAAGAACTTGCTATAATCACAGATGGATTGCTTTTAAGTTTTAACATGGCATCCTAACTGTCAAAATCCAATTATATGATGAATCTTTTCAGTGCCAAATGAGTGTACAAGCTTATGAAGAGAAAACATGCATGTAATACAGAGGAAAACTTGAGGCACCACATTGATCTCTAAGCTAAATTTTGTACAACTCACGACATTACCTTCCGATAATAAAACCCTGATTCTCTTTTCAACCTACGTTAAGGAGCACCCTAGGTGTGGCAATACTTTGCTTAACCAATCACATAAACCACACTAAATGTATCATGAAAGAAAAGGCGATTACATACTTCTGAAGAGGTGGTTCTCCAAACTTCCTCGTGGCATAAACTCATATACCAGCAATCTGTGATCATCTTCAATGCAGTAACCAACCAATTTAACCAAATTGGGATGGAGGAGGTTACCAAGAAAATCCATTTCAGCCTGACATACAGGGAAAACATGAAATTTGAATAGAAAAGATTACAAAAGAAACAAAAAAAAAAAAAAAATTCAGATGTCACACCAGCCATTCTTTATGACCCTGAAGTCCATCAATGTTTAGGGTTTTGACAGCAACAGTAAGCCCAGTACCAGGTTTTACAGGAGCAGTTCCGTTCTCCTCAATCCAACCTTTGAAGACGCAACCAAACCCACCCTCACCAAGAAGACTCTCAGGTCTGAAATTTCGGGTCGCTGATTTAAGGTCAATAAATGTGAACTTCCGAAGCTGTGAAGCGACTTTCAGTTCCTCACTGAATTTTGGTGTGGATGAAGCACTTCCTGCATTACTAGTGGTTGCAGAAGACACTGGAACAATTGGTTGATCTCTGCTTTCCTCTTTCATAGGTTTGCTTTCCGCTGAATTTAGACAAAGACCAAGGCAGTAAACTTAATGGTCATGAAACAATTTATCAAAAATAGCAACTATCACATGCTATTTCATATGGATGCTTTTATATCACACAAAAAATTGTATCCAATGCTTCAAGGCTAATCACATAACCAGTTACTTTCAGCCAATTGCCTCATTCAGCAAAACTTACAATGTTCATGGCCTAATGGATAGGAAAAAACCATTCATCAATTAACATGCAAATATAGTAAATACACCCCAAAATATTTGCTAGCTTAACCAACCAAACTTATATAACATGTGAGAAAACCATTAAATGAATAACCTTTGCAGAGGCTCCATTTAAAGGAAAAAAAAAATTATTGATCACTAAATTATATCTATATACCTTTAATTAAAATGATAAAAGAAATACAAAAACTTTTTGGTATCTATGCTCGGTAAAAATACAAAAACATTTTTCTCTGTTTATTTATTCTTTAAAGATGAGTTCTTTAACACCAAAATACTTGGGGTATAATCTTATAATTCTCTATTCTCCATTTATATAAATGCAATTTTTCTCCTAAATATTCTCAACAAATGATCACACCCTTCAACCTATTGACAAAAAATCCAATATATATAGAAGAATTTTAAGATAAAGAAGGATTAAATAAAGGGGAAAGGAAAGAGAAGATTACCATAATGAGTACCTGTTCTTCCACTCAGAGAGTTATCAACTCTTGATCTTGAAGACATGCAACTTCCCATAAACCTTAATTTAACCCAACATCCTGTTTCTTCTTCTCCTTCATCTTTCTTCTTCCCTAATGATTTTTTCTCCACAACTTTATCAGACTGATGACCAAAACCCATCTTTCTAAAACTGATCTAAAACCATCAAAATTCCTCCAAAAAAAACTTTTTTTTGCTACAAACCAGAAAACTTTAAATCATAAAACAGAAAAACCCACCTTAAAACATCTCTAAACAGGTGATTTTAAGCAATCAAATACATCAAAATATATATATATATTATGTTCATCGCTAAGACCCAGTTTATGAAATTTAGTCAAAAGGGTGTTTTTGAGAGAGAAAGAGAGAGTAAGACAAAGAAGGGCTGCTTGAGAAACAAGGAAAGTGCTCGACAAAGAGCAATTGGGCAATTTGAAACAGATGAAAGGGCAGCTTGGGCAGGAGAGAGAAACAAAGAAAGAAGTATAAAAAAATTTTAATTTAACTAACAACAGTAACCATGGCATATTCCAAACCAAAAAATATATGTAATCGTATATTAGAAAAAGAACATGGAAGTGGATATACTAAAGATATTGTTTTGTTTAATGTTTTTCTGAGTTGGGTTAGAATTGTCTCACAACTTGCAAAGATTACGATACATCAAATTCCATTGAGATTGTGCCACGATTGCATGTAGGTGGGTTTGTCTTTGCCTAATAAAAAAAATCCATGTTTACTAACAGACAAAGACAACCATCACTTTCTTTGTTGTGTTTGCTGCCAAACTAACAGTGCTTGAAATTTTTCCATAACCACACGCCATTTTAGTGGAATTACAAATCACTACCTATAATGGAATATCCCTTTTTATCTCCTCAAGATTTTTCCTTTACTACATATTTTTCCAATAAAATTATTATAGGTTTCATAAATCTTTTTAGTTAAAATTGATATAAATTTTAATTTTTATAATTAAAATTAAAATTTTAATAATTTATTAAAATTTTTTAATTAAATTTAATAATTCGTATATAAATATCATATTTATTTTATATATAAAATAAAAATTATTGTATTAAATTTATATGAATATTTCAAATATAATTTTTTTTTTTATTAAAATCATATATAATTACTTTTAAAATTTTAAATTACATCATTTTTATAATTTTTTAAAAATTATTTTCATTACTGCATTATGATGACAATGGCCACGTCTAAACTTCACTTTTTGTCTATTTTAGAATTAGAACGTAATTATATATTATTAAATGTTAAATATTTAATTTAAAATCAATAAATAAAAAATAAAAAATTTAATTTAAATGTAAAATATTAAAATATTAAAAATTTATTAGGAGTGACATACACAACTTTAATAATAAATTGACAAGCTCAAATTCTTACCATTAAAATAACTGCTGCAGGATGTAAACTGTCCGGTTAAAAAGGTTCGATTTTGTTCTAACAAAATAAGAATTTGAATAGCATTGGAAATGTTGAACTTTTAGAAGGGAGGATTATCTGATTGCTGTGTGAAGGTGGGTTGGTATGCCAACAGCTACAGCCACTACCACACATAGCCAAAAAAAAGGAATAGTAGATTCCGAAACAGGCTTTATTCTGCTGATAAAGTTGTTTAGATAGAGATGGCAAATATCATAGCAAATGTCATTTTTTGAAGCTAAACTGTAAGCTTCATATGTAACTCTGGTTTGTTTTTTTTTTTTTTTTGAGACTTATTTATTTATCAAAACGATTCTTAGTAAAGTTTCATTAATTTATCTTGTATCAGATTTGACTTGATAGTGGTTTTGACCCTATCATTTGATGATAATTTTATCAAGAAATTTGAGATTTTTACTACTACAAGTTTTAATATATGTGAGAAGAATAAATCCCATTATAGAACTAATAATGAATTTAAAGAAAAATGCCTAAAGAGGACCACTTGAGTAGTCAAGTTGTCCAGATTAACAAAAAAAAAAAAAATCAAAATAAAACCTTGTTATTTCCTTTAATTCCCAATTGAAATCAGTAAGTTGTTCTATGATTTGCATATTTGCCCTGTAAGCCTGTCTTCCATTAACATAATCACATCTAGGAAAATCTTAGCCACTTTCCACTATTATTGGACTAATGCTTTTGATATGGCACCACTGACAAAGGAAAAAAACAGGAGGTTTAGAAACCTAAACCATGCAATGAGTTTTGCAAAATCTTGAATTATTTGTTAATCACTCAATAGATTTGTCTATTAAGTGTTTACTGTTTTTCAAACCCCACCTGCCCTTTTTCTGTGTGCAGCAGCCAAATAATGAAAAGCCAGTGATCGTTGACCGCTAACACATGGAATGAACAAATACAGCTCCATTATTTCTTTTGCATCACTGTGACCGAAATTTTAATTGTGAAAGTAACTTAAAATTTTTTTTAAAAAAAATCTATATTTTGACAACCTAGCAGAGAAATACAGCTTAGTTTTATAATTTTGCACTGTTTTTTTAACTATAAGATAGTGTTTAGTATCATTTATAAGATTATTATGATAATGTAATTATTGAAATAATTTTAATATTTGTGATTTGACATCACCTTATTTGATTAATAATGATTAATTTTTATAAATTAAAAAATACTGTATTTGATATTACTAAAAATCAAATATTATTTTGTTTAAAAATATTAAAATAATTATGTATATTGTAATAGTTACATAAATTAATAATTTTATGATTGTTTAAAAATAATAATTTATAAAATATTAATAATATTTATTTATTTTATAAAAAAATATTATTAAATTATTAAATTAATAAATATATTTATTAATAGGTAAATTTATTTTTAAAATATAAATTATGAAAAAAATATTTAAATTAAAAAATGAAACCAATCTATTAAATTTATAATAAAAGAAAAATAAATATTATATTATATATAATATTAAAAAAAAAAAATATATATATATATACAAATTATTTTGAACTTATTAGAATGAATATTAAATTATTTTGAACTTATAAGAATGAATATTAATTTGAAAATATAAAAATTTTTAATATAAAATAATTATAATCTTAAAATACAACAAGATTTTAATTCATATCTTAAATTGATAAAATTAATTATTATAAATTTTACATATCACTTCACTAATAAAAATTTCTAAACCTTTTGTATATAAATTAGATCACCTTTCAAATTAATAATATGATTACTCTTACCGATACAAAATCACCAAATGCTTATCAAATATAATGATTAAATTATCATGATTTTTAAAGTGCTCACTCCTTCCAAAGATTTGTTGAGGTGACATCAGAGAAAGCTTTGAAAATTTTGGTTGTCTTCTTTGCTCTTACTGCAATCCATTTTTTTTTCCAGTCAGAATTTAAGACCTCACTAATTAAATTGTATAATCAAATATCACACAACTCCATGAAAGACACTGAGAACACACTGATTTGATAAATACAATAGTATTTAGTCTAAAAACTAAAAAGGTCCCCAGTTTGATAGTGGTCAGCAACAAATTCATCGAAAAAAGGAAACTGAGAACACAAAGCAATAACCAAAAACACCATTTTAAAACAAGACTTAAAAAATGTATAATAAAAGTAAAACATAGATCATTCTCTCATGCTGTCTTCATTGTCTTCCTGTTCAATCAAATCAAGATCAGCTAACAACTCTTCCAATGCAACAGAGGGCACATCATCCGCATCAGAAACGGATACCATTTCTGATGGCTGGTAATCTTTGTTGCGGTACAGTGATAAGTTGAATCTTAATTCAGGGTTCTCTTCCAGATCTCTCAAGAACTCTTCATATTCTGAGTCCATCTTCTCTTCATGAGCTCTTCCTTTAGATTCATCAAGTTCCATATCAAGAGACTTAAGCTTCCATGAACGAGGCTTCCCACGCTTCTTCTGGCGCTTCTCTTCATAGCTCTTCTTTATCAAAATTGCCTCAGGAATGTTAAGTCCTCTATACTTGTCTAGTTCAATATCATTACTGTTGGCCCCATAAAGGTCATAACCAAGAGCACGATCTCCAGGCTTTAAAATATGGCCTAGATGTGTTCTTATGTAAAACAACTTTCCATAATCAGTTACACGGGCCACTTCAACATCTGCTAAAACATATTTGGCACCCCCGAGATTATATTCAGGAGAAACGACTTCAACATTAAAGACATCATATTCCACCAGCTGCCTGCTACCAAGTAGAGACTTGAAGGAATGCCTCCAATACTGGTCAGTGTCCAAGAAACACTGCCTCAGAGTAAATGGATCCAGCAAAGTAATGTTGTTTGTCACTTTTGTGCAGATCACAAGTGGACCAAGATTCCCCAAACTAGCAGCAACTCTTGGAGGCAGACAAATCAAATCCTCACGACAAATGGGGGATATTTCAACCGAGAATGTGTACTTATAATTGTAGCTATTATTCTTAGGATCATGTGAAACAAGCTGTTTGTCATGTCTACTCTTTGTTGGAGCAACTTTACCCAAAAATTCCACAAACTTCACAGCGTGACTCCTGTTAGCAAAGAAAAAATCAAGACCCTGATCCATTTGCTTGATTTTAATGGCATTGACAGCAGCATCATGCTTCAGGATGACCTGCTCCAGATAAAAGAAAGTTCGCCTGTGTGAAACACGCTGTCTAAGCTGCACAGAAGCCACCCACTGGTCAGGATTGGCCTGAAACCTTGTACAAGATTCACACATGTGATCTTGCTGAACATACTCAACAACATAAGATTGCTCGAGAATTGCTCCATTAAGAACCTCTTTCTGAACTTTCAGCTTGACCTTGATTCTCTTAGAATGAGGTTCTGTCCAAATAAATTCAGCATTTACTAGCCTAACTTTTTTCAAATCAGTCTCCAGTCGTTTCACACAAAACGTCAAAAGCTCCTTTGATTCCAACTGAGCTTTTATCCAAGTTTTAGGGGGCTGCAAGTAGCTACTGCACTCAGGACAATGCATAATGGTCACATGCTTTCGCAAACCTTCTGTTATGTCAACTTCAGACCGCAAGCATGTCACACACATGTTGGCAGGATTCGGTGCCATAGAAATACCACACTTGCAACACAAGACAGTACCTCTTGTCTGAGGAACCACAAACATATTTGCATCCATTGCTACTGGTCCATAAAGAAGATAAAACAAAACGAAGATAATAAGCATATAACAGCTCAAAGCAATAAAATTCAATGGCAGAAGAGGCTAAGAATAAGCTATCAGAAATAAGCAAGTTAATCCTTATGTTGTTGTGATGAAGGGTTAATTCAAAAAGCTGCTATTTTTAAACAAAATCCTAATTTAAAACAAGAGAAACCCTGGTTAAAAAAAGTGCAAAATCAACAAAACACTGCCTATTGTCTGAGGAAACACAAACATATTTGCAGCCATGGCTGCCCCTCCACGACAAAGAAAGATGTAACAAGTGTATATAAACAGCTCAAGGCGACAGAAATCAATGGAAAAATAAGGAAGTTAACCTTTTGGTTTTCATAATGATTAAAGGCTACTAATTTTTCATGTATAAACTAATGATTAACAAAAAC